TACATAAACCTGAATTTTAAAAGAAATTATAAGTTTTGAAAGACATATTAGCTCTAAGCAAAAAAAAAATTAGGCTCTATTTGTTTGTAGTGCAAATCTAAACCGAATACAAATTTTGAACCCAATTAGGTTTTGCATTTGTTTATTTGTAACTATGATTTGTTACACCTACTGGTACAAAATTTGTACTTTGCTCATTTACACTCACTGCAATGTTTTTTTTTTTGGACAATTCTCACTGGCAGTGAAAATTTTGCATCTCAATTCCAAATATTGATACAAAATTTGCACCATCATCGTCATACCTCTATTCTCTCCATATAAAGTGGGGACCAAATCATCTTGCTTCCTACAACACCCAAACAAAAAATTCTCATCCCATCTCCATTATCTTTTATATAAAGCAGGGAACACTTCATTTTAATTCTTATTTGTTTCTCACAAACAAATAATAAAAATTAAAATCAGAAGCAAAAAAGTAAACCAAAATTTACACTCAGCCTATTTACACACCCATGCATTTACACCAGTGCAAATGGAATTTGCACTGCAAACAAACTGAGCCTTAAGCACAAAATATAAAACAAATTCAAATTCAGAGTGAAAGCAAACAGATGCAGAATATCAAAGTGCTTCAAGCACTTGATAATCAAGTAGTGTGAAACTCTCAATGTATTTGTATCTCCTACTTGCATCACCTCAATTAACAAGTGTGATGTTAAATGCCATGCATTTTCATTTGCACTATGCCATACTTGTGAATTAGCAATCAGATTAATAGATCTCTAGATTCACAAATATGGCACAACGTGAAATATAGTTAAGTCCCAAACATGAAAAATTATTGGAACTGCCAAGTGGAATTTGTGGTACAGACTTCTTAATAGGCAAATAAAGTTACATGTCGGTATTAAATTTTGAATCTAAATATCCAGGATTTAGACAACTATCAAATGCAACAAGATAATAAAATATACAAGCTTTGTTGTGCAAGCAAAAAAAGAAAAGCAAGAAAGATAGGGAAAAAAATGCTTCCATTGAAAGAAAGCCATAACTTAGATAAAACCACAAAGACTGCATATATGAGACCCTTTGACATCCATACTGGCACTTAAAAGTATGAATATGCATAATGTCTCCAAGGACACAATTGCTTTCAGTGGCATCTCCCCAAGGATATTCCACATCTCCCAATGCATAATACCTTAGACTAATAAAGGTATCATCTTGAAATATATTTAGAACTTAGGCAGTCAAGGACTCCCACATCTATCCCATAGGATCTCTTAAAATCAACTATAGCATAGAGTCACTGCACACCACCACCATCCCAATCAAAGAAAAAAAAAAAGGTAGAAAAGAAAAGAAGGCAGCTAGGAAATTTCCAACGAGTACCATTTGGCCTTAACTTCCCTATCTCCAATCTTATCGATAACCAACATGAAACATGGGTACCAATAGCCATGCACTATTGATTCATGTAACAATTTCTGGGTCTGTAAGTTTTCAAAGCATAAAATAAAAAGTTAAAACACAATTTCTGGGTCTGTTAGGTCTCAAAGCATGAAAATAAAGACAGATACAAAGAAATGAGGTAGAACACAGTTTGTGGGTCTGTTAGTTGTCAAAGTATGAAATAAAAACACCTAAGAACTCAGAATTCCGTAAGAAATGTATAGCTCCAATTATATTTTTCATTCTTAAGAAAATGGAAATAATGTCTGCCATGTTTACATATATAACTTCGTTGCCTAATTAGCAAGCTACTCATGTACATTGCATAAATTTATTTATCAAGAAAACTGATACAACTTTCTTACCTTATGCAAGACTTCAGCACACCAACCACGAACTTGCCTCTAAGCCCAAAGATGGAGATGTTCCCTCTTTCTCCTCAACTTAAATCTGAAAGATCACAAAGCAAATATATTAAACTAACAAACAAAAGCATCAGAAAATTTAACAAAAAGGAAGATACAGAGAGACAACAAAAGATGAAATCATGTTTCGGCCCTATATCGCTGAAGCCCCTATAAACACCCCAACCCGACTTAAGCAGAGAAACCCTAAAATCATGATTTCATCTGAATACAAAACAAATGAGAACTAAAACCCTATTCAATTGAACTAAAAATAAATACCGCAAAGCCCTATTTTAAAAAACAAATCATCCAAAACATCGAAAAAGGAACAAAAATCAAAACTGATGATGAAATGATTGAACTATTAAAAAGTTTATTGCTTTTGTCTTTTAATAAGCTTTTGTGGAGGGGAGCTAAAAACGTTTAAAAGAAAATAGTGAAATTATTATTATTACAAACTGATATAGAAATGTGCAATGTAAAATTATCACTTAAAAGAAACAAAAGCATTCCATGGGGGGGGAGTAATTGAAACCTATATCTTTATATGAGAAATGCAATGGAATTAAATCACAAAGACACCAACCCGTAATTAATCTAACATACCATTAGTCACATAATTGACAATTTGACATGGGCGGCTAGTGGATGGATTGGTTAGCCTTCAACCTCCATCTCCAACACAAACCAACCTAATGCATCCATTGGCTACCCCTAATGAAAATACATAGGTCCAATTAAATTAAATCATAAATTACAAAGGTAGTGGAAATAAAGAAAACTAAGAAATATCAAATAAAATAAAAGCCAAATATAAATGCCAAGAAATAAAAATACCTTGCAAAAGCACAAATCAAATAAGCAACAAAAATACCCTACAAAACACAAATCAAATAACCAAGCAAGCAAGAAACAATTTAATAAACCGGAATCAAATAAGCAACAAATAATTAAATAGACAACAAATTAAGGGAAAACATGAACCATACAGAAAGAAGAAGCCTTTCTTAAGCATAGACCTAATCATGATCCATGGAGGTAACTTGAGGAACAGAAACCCCAACATCTTAAATATGTAGAAATTGCATAAACAAGGGTTAAAGCAATGACATGTGAAATAAATATACAATAGAAAACTTTCTTAAATTTCCAAACGTTCCAAAATGCAAAAAACAGAGGTGAACCAAATGAAAATAGTGGGCAAAAAACTTTTTCCTGTACCTGTTTAGTAATAGATCAAAACGAATAAAACCAAGGAACATAGATGTACCATGTAGGAACCCTAGGAAAAAACTAAACAACTGGCAAATCGGAGTACAAACTACAAAAGAAAAGTTGAAACACCAACCGAAACCAGCAACAACTCTACAATAATCGTAGCCTGCAATACAAACCAAAAGAGACACTTTAAAAAAATGGATAACAAATTAAATCAACAAACAAAAATGTGAATGGGATTTTTTTGGTAGAACAATGGAAATTAAATCAGAAATTATAAAGATAGTGGAAATTAAATCAAAGTTACCAAAGACATTTGTTAGCAAGAAGGTCATCGTCGGGCACTAGTGCTAGTACAAGAAATAAAACCCAAAAACCAGCTACAAAACCAAAAATTCAAGTCAAGAAAATTTGAAAAAAAAAAAAAAACAAACAAACATGAAAAGGAAAATTTTCAAAAGAACGTAACCAGATTGAGATAACAGATAGTAATTCTAAGAACCCAAATGCAACAAATTATGCGAGAAAGTCCAACCAAACCCCTACAATACAAAAGCAAATAGTATTACTATCCATTACAATGGAAATCAACCTTTCTACCTCTAGAATAGAGGAAATAATGTCAGCAAAAACCCCTGCAATCGGAAAACAAAGAGAACCAGCAAGATTAAGGGAAAAGCCAAAGAAACCCTACAATAAAAAAACAAACAGTTATACTCTTCATGGCACCATAAACCCAAATCCTCGGCACAAAAATAGAGAAAATCATGAACACAAAATAAAATAAAATAAAAACAACAAACCTACTAGATTCAAAGTAGCGACAAACCCATTTGCAGTCCTTCACTTTATCAACTGAGCTAAAATCAGGGGAAAAGAGGGTTTCATTTAGAACAAACAATAAGAAACAAAAAATAAGAAACCCGAATTGCTAGACTTAGGGTTTCTTCAACGGAGAAGGCTGCTCAAGCATGCAAATAAGAAACCACAGAAAAAAAGCTGAAAAAGATAAAGGAGGAGAGTGAGGGAAGTGATGAAATAGGAAGAGAGGTAGAGTGGAAAGAGGAAGCGGAGAAAGAAAGAGGGGGCAGTGGGAAGATAAACAAGGAAGAGAGCAGAGAAAAGTGGAGCATGTGAAAAAATAAGAAACCCGAACTGCTAGATTTTCTTCTTCCCAGACCTATACTTAGGGTTTCTTCAACGGAGAAGGCTGCTCAAGCATGCAAATAAGAAACCACAGAAAAAAGCTATGAAAGACAGAGGAGGAGAGTGAGGGAAGTGATGAAACAGGAAGAGAGGTAGAGTGGGAAGAGGAAGCGGAGAAAGAGAGAGAGGGGGCAGTGGGAAGATAGACAGGGAAGAGAGCGGAGAAAACTGGAACAGGTGTTATTCATGCAATGCGAGCTACAGTGCATGTTTACATGCGATCTACTCGCACGGTTGGGTTGCTCTCTTGTGCGATCATTGATCTACTCACAGGAGTAGATTCCTTTACACGGAGAGAACATCCCAATCATGTATACAAGATATATATGGACACAAATTACAAAATAAAATATATAATAAAAATTACATTGGAGCTTGACTCTCTTAGGTTCTACTTGATGATATGAGCAATCTCTGATTAATGGTTGAAAATGATAAAAATGACAATTGTGGGCATGTTTTTTGTACTTGATATAGTTGGTATAGACTTCTTCACTCTGGGTTTCATGCTTGATTGACTGTGAAGAGTGCTTTCTATAAAGGCCCTTTCTTGATGGTTTGATTTCCCTTGAAAGTTTGAATTAAAGTGTGGAGTAGAGAACTGAAGGCCCTTTCTTGAACTTGAAGTGAAGTTGGAGTTGTAGGAGCTTGTGAGTTGTGATTACATGCCAGAGAGAGAGAGAGAGAGTTTTCAAGTGTATAAGTATGATTGTAAAAAAGTCTTCTTTCCCCAGGCATTGCTATTTATAGCCTAGGATTAGATCTATCACCGAACCCACTCTTTTAACCATTTTTATGTGAGTGAGATGATAGTTAGGATTAACTTTCATACATATTCCATTGTGTAAGAATTAGTGGTCTTGCAAATGGGTCCCATTATATTACAATATTACATGGGCYTAATCGGTCGTGGTATACTTGGATTGCTGCTTATGTCTACATTGACTTGGGCTGCTATGGAGGCCCATATTAATTTTTGGAGCTGTCGTTTAAATTAAGCCCGCCATTTTAACATGACAATTCACATGTGTATGGCTAGCTTGAGCATTTGTCAAATTTTGAATGGACCCAAGCCCATTCTAAATAAAATTTTTCAATTTGGGCAACCGATATTGTTAATTTCGAGAAGATCATAACCTACTAGTAAATTGCTATTGCTAACATTTTTTGGGTATGACATGTCAATCCATTCAGTCCCTTGCTATTGCTAACAGCCCAGGCTGTTGGCTCCCAATAACCAAAGTTTTTTCACTCAAAGGTTCGTATCGATATGATACGAGTTTCGGCCAAATCGTATTGGTACTTAGAAATGGCTGAAACTCTATTTTTTTAGTTTTTTTTTTTATTTTGGTTTTTTGGAAGCTTTAGCATGCTTTTTATTATTAAAAAAAAATAGGGGTCCGAAACACCTGAAAACAGGTGTTTCAGACCGTATCATTTTCAAAAGATTCGATACGATACACCCAATACTTTGAACCATGTTTCCACTTGGTAGGGGCTCAGGTGAATTTTGTGGGGCTGGTTTTAAAAGTCTTCCCACTCATATTTTTTAATATTTTGGTACAGAAATTGGATGCCATTATAATTGTAAAAATTAACTTTCAATGAGGAATAACATTTTTCTTTTCTTCTTTGACCGTTTTTTTCAGTATAAATATTAGYTGTATATCATCATTTATTTCACTTCTTATATCATCATTTTTGTTACTTCCAGTCTTTTATTTCACTTAAAAAACTTCAAGATATCCTCTAAGAACCATAAGATTCGAAGTATCATAGAGCATAATACGGAATCCAGGTATTAGAAATTTTCAGTCCATGATACTCACTCTTATCTTTTTTGGCCATTAGAAATCAAATCTAATGTAACCGTTACTATACTTTAGAAGTGATAAAATCAAGGTGGTAAGGTCTCCTACTGTTGTAGAGGAGACTTACTTGGGATCGAATCCTGCTTGTACTTGGGGGGTTATGGGTTGGGGATGGGTTGCCCCCATTGTATTGTGTAGCTCTTCAAAAGATATTGAGAAAAAAAAATGATGAAACATCCATAACTTTTGCATTTAGAGTACGATGGACTCAAAAATTACGCACCAATATATTATGATATTTTGAACCTTCTAATAAGATGAGGCATCTCAATAGAAGACAATTAGGGTAGGTTCACAGTTGGAATCAGAATCAGAACCAAAATACTTTGAAACCAGAATTGCAATGATCTATTCCTATAGTCTATTTGGTTCAAACAAAAATTGGAATAGAAATTAGAATCAGTTGAAATGAGATTTTATTCCCAAAAGAGGAGAATGTATGACCATTCCCTCAAATGGAGGAATGTCATTTCMCCAGAAATGAGAATGGGATTCCAATTCCACCCAACCAAACAGTTGTAATCGGAATGACCCATTCCAATTCCAATTCCAAACCCCTATTCCCACGAACCAAACTGGCCCTTAATGTAGCACATTACACAATAGAGCACCATGTGGCTGCAGGAGTTCATGCTAATTGTAGGATTCAATGGAGTCAGGTCAAGTCAATATTTCAAGAAATTAATAATTATTAGTTTCTTCCTTTTGGTTGTACATTGTGTTTTTTGTTTTAATTTTACTGATATGGTTGCTAAGTCCTTTCTTGTCCCAAATGAAAGCAGAAATATACAAGTTAAGACGCTCTACAATATTCCCATTTGAATGGTCTACCCATTTTCTCCTAGCCCCGAAATTTCCCTATTTGAATCGTCTACCTTTTCAAATCCGACCACCTAGTCTTGCTTTGACAAATCAATACTCTCTCTCTCGGGACTCAGCAGATCACATCTACTGAAAAAGAAATGGTAAATGACAACTGGTGTGTTTAGCGGTTCTTTGATTAAAGTTTAAAAGCCTTCCCTCCTAAACTTGACTAAGGAGTAATGTAATATTTCATCCCGGACATGACCAAAATTGTCAGGACAAAGAGGTTGACTAGTCGAGTCAACTATTGTCAACACCATTATGAAGTTGGGCAGTCGCGTGTTCTTGTCCACTTGTTTCATACGTTATAAATAAAACACTTATTTAATTATCAATTGAAATTACTTCATTTGACAACTGCATCACACCAACTCTTCACCAAACTTTCCGGCCCTTTACAATTTTTTGTAGATGAACTTTCTTCAATGGGCTTTTTGCCTTTTGTTGGGGCATGACCAGTGGGTCTGGTTTGCATAGTTCATATATTATATTTCAAGGATTATCCAGTCCACCTTTTGATGGGTCCCAAATAGATATATAATATTTTGGACGATCATGATGAATTTTAACCGTTTGATTTGGTTTGCTCATTGTTTTTCTGAGCTCTTTAGCAACTATGAAGCAAACTGTTCTGCGGTGGTGCAAGTGATTAAATTGAGTTTCTTTGGAATAATCTCGGATGAGTGAGTAGTGACACAACTGGTGGGCCTTAGGACAACAATTGGCCCATGCCCACCTGTGACCAACCGTTTGGACAGTAAGCCCGCGCCTAAAGTTGAAACTTGAAAAGAATTTTGTATGGAATGGGATTTGGGCGAAGAGAAGTCTTCGGGCAAGCGGACACGTGGCAGAAGATTACCAATGTAAATTGGTCCCCGGCCCAGTTCCTAGTTCGTAGTTCCCACGTGGAGTGGAAAATTTTGCATTCTAGAATGTCTGCTCGGCTGTGATTAGTTTGAGTCAATCAATACAGTAAAAGTATCAAAATATCGAGTGTTGGTAATGTATCGCCGTATAGAGCCGAGTCTTTTAGTCAGTTAGTTGAAATAACAATTTGGAATTACACCAATCACTCAATCAGGCGGAAAAGACAAAGCGGATTGAGACTCAAGGACTGCAACTCTGCAAGTGAAGTGACTGCCAGTAACTCATTCATTCAACTCTCTCTACGGACATGAATACTAAGAGTTGCATGAATTCCTTATTTACTGAGGTGACATGTCACCAGTAGCTACCACATCATCAAATTGATATCTAGATTCCACTCAAACTGGTGGTTAATGTCAGTATCTAGGATTTTTCTCTTATATGGATAAATTAGTTAGATCATCATTATCCTCCTCTCTCTCTCTTTTTCAACGATAACTATTGCTCATGGTTCTGGTAAAGTCACCATCTTTGAACCATTCTCAAAATCTTCTTATTTCAAACTTACTGGAATTCCCTGACTGGTGTGCCTGGTTCATCGGAAAGCTGAGCTTCGCGACGAAGAGTCAGAATCCCCGTACTGTATGAGCCGCTCGAATTAATCCCTCGTTTGATGAATAATCCAGTTAGAAGATACCCATCTCAGCTTGCATCGATCATGTTGCATGTGAAGCTTGGACGGCCTCTGTTTCTGCTTCTGCTCCTGTCTTTTGCTGCCTCTGAAGATTCTGATTTTACCTACAATGGTTTCCAAGGTGTTAACTTGACCCTGGACGGAATCGCGCAGATCACACCGACTGGCCTGTTGATGCTGACCAACGAAACCAAACAAAACCAAGGCCATGCTTTCTACCCTTTTCCAATCCATTTCAAGAATCCCGGATCGGATGACGGTAATGTTTTTTCATTCTCTACCACTTTCGTATTCGGAATTATTCCCCCATACCCAGATCTAAGTGGTCACGGAATCGCTTTCGTGATCGCACCTTCAAGAGCTCTGCCGGGAGCTCTACCAAGCCAGTATATTGGCCTCTTCAATGAGTCTACCAATGGTGATTCGAACAACCATGTTGTCGCCGTTGAGATCGATACCATCCAGAGCAAAGAATTCTCTGATATCAACGATAATCATGTCGGTATTGATATTAACAGTTTAAATTCTTCTGTATCCGTCCCGGCCTATTATACAGATCATAATGGTGTCGGTCAGAACCTAACCCTCATAAGTGGAAAGCCAATGCAACTTTGGATAGAATATAATGGCGAGGAAAAGAAGATTAATGTGACATTAGCTCCGTTTAATGTAGATAAACCTGATATCCCGCTCCTATCTTTCAAAACCAATCTTTCTTGGATCATGAAAGACCCCATGTACGTTGGATTTTCATCGTCAACGGGCTCTGTTCTTTCATCTCACTACGTGTTGGGATGGAGCTTTAATCTGAAAGGACCAGCAAAAAAACTCACTCTCTCTCAACTTCCCAAGCTTCCTCGAGTAGGACCAAAGGAGAAATCCAAGTTTTTGACAATTGGGTTGCCGATTGTTATCATAGTTTTTGTGTCCACCGTGGTCTACGGAGTCCAATTTATCGTGGCAAGGAAGAGAAAGTTCGCAGAATTAGTTGAAGATTGGGAAATGGAGTACGGGCCTCACAGGTTCAAATACAAGGATCTCTACCACGCCACCAAGGGGTTCAGAGACAAGGAACTTCTAGGTAGCGGCGGATTTGGCAGCGTCTATAGAGGTATACTGCCCACCTCTAAAATCGAAGTTGCAGTGAAGAGAGTCTCCCACGAGTCAAGACAGGGGATGAGAGAATTTGTGGCAGAGGTAGTTAGCATCGGTGGCATGAGACACCGGAACTTGGTACAGCTATTGGGCTATTGTCGGCGTAAAGGAGAGCTCCTTCTGGTCTACGATTATATGCCCAATGGAAGCCTGGACAAGTTCCTCTTCAATCAACCAAAGTGCTTACTGAACTGGAGCCAAAGATTTCGAATCATCAAAGGGGTAGCGTCGGGTCTACTATACTTGCACGAAGAATGGGAGATGGTGGTTGTTCACAGAGACGTCAAGTCCAGTAATGTGTTATTAGATAACGAGATGAATGGAAGGTTGGGAGATTTTGGATTGGCAAGGCTGTATGATCATGGAAGCGATCCTCAAACTACCCACGTGGTGGGGACGGTCGGTTACATGGCACCGGAGCTGACTAGAACCAGCAAGGCTACACCGAGCACAGATGTGTTCGCCTTCGGAGCCTTCATGCTTGAAGTGGCTTGTGGGAGAAGGCCAATAGAGCCACAAGCGTCGATAGAGGATTTAGTTTTGGTGGATTGGGTGTTCTCGTCTTGGAGTAGAGGGACGATTCTTGAGACGGTGGATCCAAATTTGGGGACTGATTATGTAGTTGAGGAGATGGAATTGGTATTGAAACTGGGCCTAATGTGTTCTCACTCTACTCCGGCAGCTAGGCCGAGCATGCGACAGGTGGTGCAGTTTTTGGGCGGAGATGCCCCTCTTCCGGACCCGTCGTCGCTTGGTCTACGTGCGACTGGGCACGTCGTCGGGGAAGGCTTTGACGACTTTTTCATGTCGTATCCTTCTTCTTTTGACAAGACGTTCACTCAAACACAGACATCAGCAGCAGAGTCTCTCATCTCCACAGGTCGTTGATTATGTACAAATCTGTATATATCTAAATCAGCTGCTCGATGGGATTATTGGTAGCCTAGTACTGTAACATTTTACTAGTTCAGTATGTTTAATTAATCTGGTTGTTGCAGTAGAGATCGTTCTCAACCAGAAAACTGAGAGAAGCGATGGCCCAAATGTCAGTGCACGCTGCAATGTGCTGTGATGTTGGTGTGAGACGAAGCATATCCGGATTCACCAAATGGATAGATAAGAKAGGTAGAGGAAGAGCTTTTAGAAAAATAAAGGKAGAAGGGAGAAATTGGAGGCAAGCATGCTCTCCATTATTATCTTCATATGGTGGTTGGTTGGCAATGAATTTCTAGCCCACAAAGGTTGAAATCTATTTGCATTTTAAACGTTAGAAATTGTCTGGTTTGAGAGGACTGATTTTGAAAGCTAGAAGGAAATTAAGTTCCGTTTATTATAAACAATTAAAGTTTCCATCTCAGTCCGGGTTTACATTCATGTATTTTTAAGCGATTCCCATTTTCTGACCTCAATCCTTGTTGAGGAGAAACAACAACCTCCATCCCTGATTCCTGATTCCTGATGGAGACGGGTTCCCATTGAGGACCTGAATCTTAGGATTCTTTTTTTTTTTTAAATTAAAAGTTTACTTTGAGAAAAAAAATAGTTAATTTAAAAAGAAATTAGAAATCACCGATCTAAATTGGTATTGCATACGGAATCGGGTCAGGGCAGAGACTTCACTTGTTGATTGAAATTATGTAGAAATGTGATATTATCTAAAATTTACAATGACTTTTTTTTTTTATTTATTTTAAATTCATCATGACTTTTCAAAACCTCCAAAATGGCCCCAGCCACTAATTGATGAATCAACCTTATTAAATATTTTATGGGCCTGGGTCTGGGGTAATTCTGTCGTAAAAAAATATTTAATAAGATTGATTGATCATTCAAGGGTAATTTGGTCATATAAAATATTAAAATGATTATGTGGACAATTTCTTGATCACTAACAATGGTGATTATTATGATGGAAATCTTAACAAAAGATGAATTTTGGACAATAAGACTTTCTTATGGGGGACTATCCGCCTATCCTTAAGTTTTGAAAAAATCATATTGAATTTAAAATAATATCCCTTAGAAGATTAGTTTCTTTGTTTCAATTGAAGATGGGATTGGAATTAGATTACGTGAAGGCCAAATAATGTTGGTGTGGAAAATTGGAATTGAATTGGGGGAAATTGTTTTAAACCAAACTTAGAGTTTAATTAATTAATCATGGGTTGGGAGATTGTTTTAGTATAAAACCAAACTTGAGTAGTGAAACAGATTGAGTGCTTGGTTTGAGTTGTAGGTAACCGCTTTGCATGAACACAAACGCTAAGGGTATGTTTGGGAAATATGTGGTTGGTTAAATAAGTACTTAATGTTTAGTAAGTTTTTTTTTTAAATCACGTGTACTTATTTAATGTATTTATTTTTGTTGCAGTTTGGTAAAGTATTTATATTTTCAAAAATGATAATTATAACCCTAACATAATATAGGCATATATTTGATATTTATGAATATTATAGTGACACACTTTACTGAAAAAAGAAAACAAAGCAAAATAATAAATGCCACCAGTTAGGGTCGATTGGGTGCTGAATCTGTAAAAATGAAAGCAAAACAGGGTGTTAGATTCAAAAAAAAAATCAAGGGAAGATAGAAAGGGATAGGAGAAATAATGAAAAATGGAGCCAATGGAGCCAAGGAAGATCGAAAGGCATTAGATATACTTGTTCATCGGTGGAATATTTTTTCTTGGATTTTTCATGGATACTCTGAATGCGAGGGCCCGAGATAAGCTGAAAAAACCCATTAAAACTGATTTGCGGTCATCTCATGCCTCGGGTTGCCGTGTCAATAGTCTGTCTATACGGTCTTAAGTCTTAACGCTCAAATGATTGAATTGAACCCGACTCCTGTAGTTGTAAGGCCAACCAAGGAGTTTGGCATCGAGAAATTACTGGTATGTAATGTACTCTGTAGTTGAACCCGACTCCTGTATTCAAAGTTATTATTAATATTTAAAATTTTAATATTTATATTTTTATTTAATGTTGATTTACAGAAAATAATCATTGTTAATTTAACATGAATAAATATTTTTTAATAAATTTAGTTTTATTAATAATTTATAGTAATTTTAATAATTATTATTTTTTTTATTATTTTTAAATGAAATTTTGATTAACTTTAAATAAATAAAAATAATTACAAAAACCAACATTTTTATTAATTTTATTAGTAATTGACAATTATATAGGAATGACAATGGGTGGATCTAGGGCAGGGCATCAACATTCCTGTCTCTGTCCTATCGTCAAAACACTCTACCCCATTCTTGCCCCGTCCCCAATGTTAAGCAGGTTTAAGGCAAGATAACCACTCCTCAATGTCGTGCGAGTTCAGGGGCAAGAGACCCCACTCCTCATCAAGGATGGAGAGTCCTCAAATTTCCCCCGCCCTGTCCCCAATATTGGGCGAATTCAAGTAAAGGTGTAAATCGAGTCATGCTGGGCTAAGCCTTGGGCCAGGCCAAGCCTTAAATCGAGCTAAGCTATGAGAGGTCCATTTAAAAAAATGAAAAAGATGTTTAAATTTTTATTTCATATGATTTTTGATGTACACAATTGTTTATATATACAATTAGACCTATTTATGGGCCAGGTAGCCTAACGGTCCAGCCTGGCCTGACCCGCTATTTTTCAAGCTTGGACAAAATTTTAGGCTCGTGGGATCAAGCTCGAGCTTTCTCAAATAAGCCCAGCCCGATACTATTACATATATAAAAAGGTACTTATGTTATAAATAATAAATCATATATATATATATGCTTCTTAAATTATTAATAAATATCAATTTACTATTAGGAAATATAAATTAGTTTATTAATTTATTAAATTATTACTAAATTAATATAATATTAGTTTATAAAAGTATACTGAAAATAAGACATTTTGTGTATAGATCAGGATTCGGGCTCAGGCTCATGCTCGAGCTTTGGGCTTTATATAAGGGTTGGGCTCGGGCTCAAGATCTAGGGTCGATGGTCAAGCTGGGCTCGGGCTCAGGCTTGCACATTTTCTATTGATAAAGAGGCCCGTGTTAATTAAAAAACTATGATTTTCTATAAATTATTATTATTTTTATTTAATTATAGTCTAGTATAAAAAATATAACATTTCTATATATAATAATGTAAAATTTGTTATTTAAATATTATATAATAATATTTACCATATATGCACATAACTTCCAAGTTGAACTTATTAGGGGTTGTTTAGCTTGGTCCCTATCGGCTAAAGCTATCATTTGACTCAAAAAGTTTGATACCCAATTAGACTTCGGATCTAATTATCCCTAATAATGTGTGGGCATGTCGCATATTTCAGGTAGACCTAACTCAAAAGAAAATAGTTACTTGATCCTGCAAATTTATAAGCCTAATCGGGTTAGGTTAAGTTATAAACGATTTGTTAATTTCTATTATTAATTATTAAAATATTGTTAGGTGTTAATATTTTATACTTATTAAATCACTATATCTATTTAAAATACTGTAATTTATGGAAATTATCATATTTTCAGAAATATTGCTAATTTCTTGGCTAAAGCTAATTAAATGTAATTTTCTACTATTTATAGCTTAAATTATAATTACTGTTAATTATAGTTTAAAAAAAATTGTTTTTAATTATATTACCATTGATAATGAAAATACATTATTTTTTAATTATTATTCAGTATTTTTGCAATAAAATACAAGTAATTTATTTTTTTAATTATTTTTAGTATTTTAAATAAATTTTAGATTTTTCAGAATTTTTGGATTTTTAATTAATTTTTGGTGTTTATTCATTATTATTCAACATTTTTTGCATATGAGTATTTTTCAATAATTTCCAGTATTTTCATCATTTATTTTTGCATATTATTCACTACAAAATTAATTTGCATTTGCTTTCAGTAAACATAATTAAATAACTAAATAAATACCATAGTTATTAAAAAATACAACTAATTTTCAATATTTTTCAATAATTTTTGGCTTAGGTAAATTTTTAATAATTTTTGGTATTTTTAATAATAAAATACTATTAATTGTATTTTAGTATTTTAATTATTTTAAGTAAATACCCTTATTAATATAAAATATTGTTAATTTTCAGTATCTTTTAATTATTTTTAGTATTTTCATTGTGTTTAGGATTTTTAGAATTTTTCCAATTTTAATTAATTCTTGGTATTTTAAAACTATCAATTAATATTTTTATTAGCGTTTATTAAGGTCTCAACTCATAAGTTATCTAATAATATTATTATAACTATCAATTAATATTTTTATATTTAAATTTCTTATTTTTATTAGCGTTTATTAAGTTGGATTTTTAAGTGGAATTGAAACACATTTTTAATATTTGCTATGTTTTGTTAATATTTATTTTTAGTGAAAGTTTAGTGGATTTTTAAATTAATAATTTTTTGATTGTTTAACCACAACCTATTTATATAATTTGATTTATATCATGGTTTTCAAAACTGGACCAGACCGAAAAAATTGGGAACCGGTCAGGTGATCGATTCCATTTTACCCCAGAACCGTTATTTCACCAAAAACCGTTGATTTGGTCAGCAAACCGCTGACCTAGGCGGTCAAACCGTTTGAACTATCCAACGATTTTGGCCAWTTTTTATTTTTTATTTTTTGTCAAAATGATTGATTGATTGGACCTTTCGACCCAAGAACCAGACCTCTAACTGGTTTGTTGTACAATTCGGTTTTAAAAACCTTGATTCATATTATTATTACTCTCTCTCTCTAATGTAATAATGACATGCATTAAAATAAGAAGCCTTGAAAAATCCAAAGGTTTCTCTCTAATAGTGTATAGTTTTATTAATCTATATTATTGTTTTATATTTTAAAACAAAAGATATTAAAAAAAATACAAAAAATGGAGAAACGGTCTATACGCGCAATCAATTACTTCCAATTGCCCAACCCCAATTAATCGGAAATCTAGGCAAGTTATATTGTTGTTCCACTCATTGGTTGGCTTGTAAAGGACCGAAGAAAATTGAGGAGTGAGAAAAGGGACGTTAAAAAGGAAAGTAGAAACTCCTACTTTGTCTAAGCAAAAATCCTAACAGTAACAGGTGGATATCTAGAAACTCATCTCTATGGTTCTAATTCTAATGGAACTACCAACACCGACAACAATCTATTCATCTCCAATTGGGTACGCAGTAGGCTATCCTCAAGTCCTCATTACGATCTATTCATCCATCGTGGACAGGTGTGTCAGGTTACATTTGCAGGGAAATTTTCATCTTCGTCTCTCCAACTCCAACTCAGGTAAGTCGTTGTGGGGGTCTATTT